GCTCATAACCGCTGCTATATCGCATTGCTTTTCAGCACTTTAGTTCATGCTACCTTAAGAATGTATTATATCTCACGACAGCACGTTTGTCAAAATAATCAAATGATTTGCTCCTCACTTTGGTGTTTGTAGTACTTGGGGAATGGGGGAGTGTAGGAGTTATTAACAAATTTTCTCCTTAAGATTAGGAAAGTGACGACTGATGGAATCTAGCCCTTTCCAGAGACAAAATAAGCTGTGGAGACAAAAAAAATACACTAGTCCTTAAAAGCCAAGTGTGACTTGGTTATTGTGGATATAAGTGGTAAAAATGAACATGCATCATACAGTTGTTTTCTTTTTCCTTCCTCTCCTTTTTTTAAAAGAAAAATTAACCTTATTCCTTGCCTTATGCATGCATTAGTATTTTAGAATGCTGCTTCCATATACCAATTATAAATATGACTTGAAGGCAAGAGAAAATTAAAGATATTTATCAAAGTGTTTTCATATTATTGGAAGAAACGGTTGTTGTCACCAAGATACCATGGTACCTAGAAAAAACTTTTGGTAGATTAAGCAAAATATTACAAGTATTGCATTCTCTTGTTTTTTGTGTAGCTTATCTTCTTGGGAAATAACTGTGCTTTTATGATTTTTTTAAGATTCATTTTTCATCCTTGCTTCCACTGTTAGCATCATGGTATATATAGAGAGAAATGTAAAGAAAAATGTTATTATTTGTAATTTTTTTCTTTTGAATATCTAATACACTTCACAAATATCAAGTCTCTCAGTGACATTCCTAAAGCACCTAGCAATTTGTAAACAATACCTGAGTTTGTTCTGAATGAAGTGCTTTATAAGAAAATAGAAGGTACTGAGACTGACCTTAGTGAAATATGGAAAGCTAGATAAATGTAATATGTTTTCTGAGAGCAAGCCTACAGACTGTGGGGTGAGAGGGTGCAGAAAGAGCAGTAAAGACATTCCTTTGTGCTCTATAAGGAGCTGTTTCAGAGGGAGAACAGGCATCTGAGGGACAACTTTATTACAATAGCTTTCAGGCACCAGGCATCATGTTTAGCCAGTTGGCCCAGTATTGGAAAACCTTATATTGGATGTTATCACAACTTTGCTTTTCCAGGGATCTGTGAAGGCAGGTAGTGCTACCTACCTCATGTAGGCAGCACAGAGCGACTTTGCGGCATGCAAAGAATCTGGTAACCTGGACTAGTGTTTCACTAGGGCAGATCAGCATTGCTGTGTGAGCACAGTAAGTCCAGTGAGCTGCAGATGGTGACAGGACCTTCTTAAATGCATCACTGTTCTTCTCACAGTCCAGCTGTTGAAACAGTGAGACAGAATATTCTGAGTCCTGCAGCAGAATTTTTGTTTTCTCTTTCAATATGGTACGCTGGACATTAACTTCACTAGCACCACTTTTTTTACCAAAATAACTTGCAGGCACAAATGGAGTTAATTTCTATTTTATCTCAGAGCAAAGGTCAGAATCAAGTTACGAGCCTTGGAGTCCCTGTTAGGCTATGCAAAGGTGAGTAAATGAGAGTCAAATGGACCTAAGCCAAAGAGCAACGTTTTAGTGAAAACTACTGCTTTGACTACTGCAAACCAAGGATATTGCTTCTGTGCTACATTGCTGCGATGTGGAACTGCACCAAGAATATTCAGGAGATCGTGACCATAGTTAGCTCTTCACCACCTGGCTAGTGGAAATGAACTGGGGACTGAAGTATTCAGGATAATGAGAAAACTCAGGTAGCAGCCATACTGGAGGATGCACTGCAGACATGGATGTGGCTGTATATGGGACCCAGTCTCATCTAACGATGCCTACTCTGAGCCAAAAAAACAGCCAGACTCAAGTTATCTGCACTGCACTGAAGTGTAGAGACAATCAAGTGGTTATCAAAGGGTGAACTTGGATTTTACTCTGTCTGTTAGTACCAGGTCTACTGGAAGTGAGTCAGTCGCTGCTTTTTCTTTAGTGTCTCTCACAGTGGAGCAGTACCGCATAGTGCTAGGGTATTCAAGCAGGTTTGGTGGGTGGCCAGCTTGGGTAGAGCTTGCCGCAATGACTCATGATATCTGCTATGCTAAAATCTTGAAATCCGGCTGATCCTGAGTTTCAGCTAAATAAGCTGCTCTGTACCCAAATTAGCACTGCAGAGAGCCAGAGCTTTATCTCTGCATCTGTAGCAGGTGGACAACTGGGAATTGAATCTCTTTAGTAGGACTCGAGGAGCTCTTATATGGAACAATATACACTCAATGAATGTGCTGATATTTTGAAGGTCTCTTCTTTAAAGATGCTTATCATAAAAAAGAAGCTTTTAAAGACAGCCTTTTTTTCGATAGTATATAATAATACAGAGAAACCATTTGTTCTACTCCAATTCACTGGACATACTGATTTCTTTCAGAAATGTCATTTGGAATAGTTTCTAAACTGAGGCCAGTAAACATTTGTGTCCTGAGCTAACTCTCTTCAGCATCTGAACTAGCATCTAAATTGTACTGCTGAACTTGGGTTAACTGGCCATCCATGAATATACGACAAACCAATTTCACAAACGGTAAGGTGGCCAATTTTGAAAAGGATGCAAAAACTGGCCTGGAGCTGGGACGTGGCCAATGTCAGCATCTTGTAATTCGGAGGCATCAGCGAGTCTGTCGAACAGCCTGCAAACTCGTGGGCTATTCGCAAGATGTAGGGCTTTAGTGAAGCCAGAGCAGATATTTTGACCTTATAAGTAGCAAGACTGATTTTGATATCTTGTTTGGTTGGAGGGGAGGGCTGTGTTTTTTAGTGTGACAGCAAACAAATGCAGAACATGGGAGGGGAAGACAGCTCAGAAAACACTAATGCAGTTTGATGTTTGCATTAAAATATAATAAATAGGCTGATTGATATGTATGTGAATGCATATATACACATAGATATAATGCAGATCAACCTAATAAAATTATAATAATCGCAGAAATTATAGCCTCCCTGAAAGAAAAATTAGTGCTCACTCCATCTGGAAGAGAAAAGGAGACATATCTTCATTTAGTAGTGTTCTTCCATGATAAAAAGGAATGATTTGTAAGATTTTTTTTTAAGATGAAGTGATAGGCTTCTCTGTCAAGTGGCACTTTGAAGAACTTAAACACAAAAATAAATGCTTTATTTTGTGGGGAAAAGTTTTTTGTTTAGTTGTTGTTTTCCTGGAAGCCTGCATATTGGTCTTTTATTTGAAACTAAGAAAGACAAAAAATAGAAAAAGAAAGGATTAGAAATTATGTCAGTGCAGCAGAGTGCTGTTATTCAGTTAGCATAAATGTCTTAAAATAGAAAAACCTGACTGAAAATGTGTCAGCATTTTGGAAGTAAATCAGAGAAGAAAGTGTTTGTGAAAATACTCTAGAGAGCAAATAGTAGAGAGAATATTTCAACAGCAGAGCTTCAACCACCTATTGCACCAGATAAATACATTTTTACTTTTTTCCTGACTCCTCTTTCTTAAAAGATTAGAATCCCAAGGAAACCTTTAATGGATTTTAACTGTATTCCCTTGTTTATATACTTACATTTTTTTATCTATGTAAAACAATTTTTAAAAAGCTATTAGGTGTTTCTAATTTTCAATAACATATTGCTTGAATTTCAAAGCGGTAACTTTTAAAATAAGTCAATTTGTATTTCTTAAAAGATGTAGCCTTAGTTGAGAAGAATGGGAGAAGTTAAGACTATGGTGATTTATGTCAGATGAATATTAGGCTGCTTTTGTCTTCAAATAACATTTCTTGTAATAATATCAGCCAAAGAAGGGTACCAACTTTTTTCTTTTTGAAACCTCTAATAGCAAAAAAAAAAATTGTACCTAGACTTGGCTGTAAATTATCTTGATCATAACTCAGTAAGGGACTGCCTAAAATCCAAGCCAGGAGATTAGTTCTCCTGCTATATCTCCCTCCACAAATGCTTCAGGCTATTGATTGACACGACTGCTGAGCCAGGCTTTCTGCTGTTCTTATTCCATTGCTGTTCCTGACCTCCATCTCCCTTGGGCAAGTCTTTGCATTGCAGTTTCCTTTCTAGAAAAAGGGGGATCCTGCTATTTCTTCAAATAGCCACCAGTAAAACCACAGTCCAGTACCTGCTTCAAACGGAACACGATTAAGTGCTTTTGCTGAAAAAGGAGAATTTACTCAGTGCAGTGAGACCTCCAGCCATTTTAGCAGCTCATTACCTATGGAATTGGAGGTGCTAAAGGATTTCACTCAGTTTAGAGTGGCTGTGGTATCTTCTATGCTGTAATAAGTATGCTGAGTTTTAATAATTATTGTACTTCATAGGCTAATTGGTTGTATTCATATTGTGCTCACTGCTACCACTATAGCTTGTGAAGACTTACTCTGAGAAAGCATGTCACCCAAGTATATGGAGCTTGACTTCTGACAGATTTCTTTTTTTGTGTTTTTTTTTTTTTTGTTTTGGGGAAGTTTGGAGAAGAGATGCAGATGTTATCTACTGTATCTTTTAAACATTGGCCTGTTATATATTATTTTCCATTATAGCTTAGCTGCCTTATTCACCACAGGATATGCATATTGGAGGAGGCCAAAAAGGGGCAAAATTTCACCTCGTGAAAGCTGTGTCTCTCCCTGCAGGATTCAATTCAGTGCTGATCCTGCTCTGAGCAAGGTTGGACTCCTAGTCCAAGCCGAGGTCCTTTCCAGCCTGAGTTAATCTATGGTTTTGTGATTTCAGCCCAAAATCAATATAGATCCCTTGAGGTCATTAATTTTCATATGATAAAGATCTGACCTTTTGACAGAGATGGTTTTAACACTGTCATCAAAGGTAAACATTTTTATCTGAGAACCTATCTCATGATCTCAATTACAGAATGTGCTGTGACATAAGATCTGAGTGATATTAAATCCCTTGCATCTTGTTAAGATCATACAGATTGTCTGTCTATCTGTCTGCTATAAACTTTTACTACCTTTAGAGATCCCTGAAGACCCACAAATTGCAGAAGAATATTATAATGATGAGTTTGAATCCTGTTCAGAAAGCAGTGAAGAAGAGGAGAATGTGGAAGCATCACAGACTGTCTCTAAGACAAATCACCAGGTAAATGTGACCTTTGGGGAAACAGTATACATTTGATGCTTGTTTTCTAAGGGAAAATTAAACTCACTCTGAGAGATGTTGTCCCACTGATGTTACTGAAATTTGGTTTTGATGGGAATATGTATGTATGTGTATGGCAACACTGTGAATTAGTTATATGTGTATGCATATGTGTTATTCATCTGAGATAGTGATGACAGAGAATCAGGCATGCCCTCAAGTTTAGGGATAAGATTCCCAAGAATGTCTTAGGGTGAAATGTTGCCAGTAAACTGCATTGTCACTGTAAAATATTCAGAGTGGGGTTCTCTCACTGTTAGCTATGTGTAAATTCAGATAAATCCGAAAATCCACATTAAGTGTAAGATGTAGGTTCCCTTTCTAATTCCTAGGGAGGGATATGCACCTCTAGATGACACTTCTTCCTGACTATTTTATACACATTTTCTGGGACAAAATGACAAACTATGAGCCTAAACTTGACCAGCAGTTTTCAGATCTGTAGATTCTCCCAAGCATCTCAGAAAGGATCGATGAAAAACAAAGTTATTATTAGAAGGCTTAAAGTAGCTTTATCAATTGAGGCTGCCACACAAAAATTTTAGGGATTGCAGTTTGAGTAAAGGTTGGAGATTATTGGAAAAGACACCTAATTTATATCCGGTCAAAATGAGTTGAGGTGAATCATGTCTTTAGTGATCAAATCTCAGTGAAATCAGTGACTTAAATGCCCAGGTCATTTTTGAAAATGGATCTTCTGTGGCATTTAGAAACAATTAATTTTTACCCTGGGCCATCAACTTAAGGCATTATGTATGGTGCCTCTGAAAGTGTCATTTGAACATATAGGCATGTTCTTTCAAAACATTAAGCTTTCTTTTGTTGTTTCACTATTTATGCTTTAAAGTTCAGGAATGGTTTATATAGTGATGTTCTAAAGAAATAATTAGTCAATTGTAAATCGGTGGAATATCTAAGGCAATGCTTTTGTTGCAATGTGCAGTATGCTGGGTCTGCATAAACGGAGCAAACCCCAAACTCTCTGTCACTTGGTAAATCTACCACAATGTGCTCTTGAAAATAAATTATTGCTCAGTTTCATCAGACAGCATTATATACCTTTTTCCCTTCTGGAATGCCTTTTAAAATTTTCATTTGACTTTTGTTGAAGGTATCATTAAGTGTCAATCAATAGTGTTTTTGAACAGGCAGACTGCTGCTTAGAATTAACGAATGACAGAAGATAAAAATAGATTTGTTAATAATGCAGAATAAATTAGGTATTGGCAGTCAGATTTGAGCTGTGACATTTAGTCGTTCTGTAGCTATTCACAATTTGATGATGACAAGAACTAACACTGTGGGTTAGAAGAAATGTTCCGCTGACATCTCTTTTCAGAATCCAATCCTTAAGGACTCTGTGGCTTCAATTTACCAACAGTCCATGTGCACATATTTCATTAACTCTCTGTGAATTGGCCTACACAGAGTGATTAGCAAACACAATCTGTAAGTGTTTGTCTTTTAGAACTTCCTCTGTCAAAGAAGCAAATTGTCTATCTTTGTTTTTTTGTCACCTTTGATAAAGTAGCACTGTATTTCTGGATAGTGACACAATTACCTTTTATTTTTCTTGGAAAGTGAGCTGAATTTTAATATTTCCCTTTCTCAAGTGAAAGATTCTGCGGTGAATCTGAGCTATTTATTCAACTATGAATAAATAGTTATTCATAGTAGGCTCTCACAGATGCCCAGGCAATATAGTGGCCCTACTTGGGATGCAACACTTCTTCAGTTAAGAAGGTAGGGTAAGGCAATGGAATTGTATCGTTTTAAAGGTTTAGGATGGCAGCTATTTTCCCCTTATCGTTATCTTATAATACATCCTGTGTGCTCTCAGCTACATGATCCAGTTGTAGATGCGGAGTTACCACCAAGTTCATATCCTGTGTGCATCCAGACATGTCATTTTGTTGTAGCATTGGAGTTCAGTGTCTCTTCTCCCTCTCTTTCTGAGCACAAAGTCAGATTGCCAGATTTCAAGCAGGAATTTCCAGACTTTTGGCTCCTTCATCTGATGGCTCTTTTACACCTGTTTTTTCAAGGAATACTGATTTTGTAGTTGCATGAGAGCTAATTGAGGGAAAAATATAAAGGACAATGAGAAACTAGTTCTAAAAAAAAATTTGAAAGTATGAGGCTCAACAGAAATTTCATCTTGAAAATTTAGTGCTCAGTGAGATAGATTCACCAAAGGGAAATCATGCTTTACCAATCTGATAGCCTTCTATGATGGAATGACTGGGAGGGTAAATGAGGGCAGAGCAGTGGATGTTGTCTCCCTGGACTTGAGCAAGGCTTTGGACACTGTCTCCCATCACATCATCCTAGGCAAGCTCAGGAGGTGTGAGTTGGATGAGTGGACAGTGAGGTGGATTGAGAAGTGGCTAGATGGCCAAGCTCAGAGGGTTGTGGTCGGTGATGCAGAGTCTAGTTGGAGGCCTGTAGCTAGCGGTGTCCCGCAGGGGTCAGTCCTGGGTCCAGTCGTGTTCAACTAATTCCTCAATGACCTGGAGGAAGGCACAGAGTGCCTCCTCAGCAAGTTTGCTGATGATCCTAACCGGGGCGGAGTGGCTGACACACCAGAACTGTGCTGCCATTCAGAGGGACCTAGCTCTGCCAAGAAGGACCTGGGAGTTGTGATGGGCAAGTTAAGCATGGGTCAGCAGTGTGCCCTTGTGGCCAGGAGGGCCAATGGTATGCTGGGGCACATTAGCAAGAGCATTGCCAGCAGGTGGAGGGAGGTGATGCTGTGCCTCTACTCAGCCCTGGTGAGGCCCCACCTGGAGTACTGTGTCCAGTGCTGGGCTCCCCCGTACGAGAGAGACACGGCACTCCTGGAGAGAGTCCAGTGGAGGGCTATGAAGATGATGAGGGGACTGGAGCATCTCTCCTGTGAGGGAAGGCTGAGAGAGCTGGGCCTGTTTAGCCTAGAGAAGAGAAGACTGAGAGGTGATCTCATTAATGTGTGTAAGCATCTGAAAGGAGGGTGTCGAGAGGATGAGGCCAGACTCTTCTCCGTGGTGCCCAGCGATAGGACGAGAGGCAACGGGCACAAACTGAACCACAGGCAGTTCCATCTGAACCTGAGGAAAATCTTCTTTGCTGTGAAGGTGACAGAGCACTGGACCAGGTTGCCCAGAGAGGTAGTGGAGTCTCCTTCCCTGGAAATATTCAAGTGTCGTCTGGCTAGGGTCCTGTGCAATGTGCTGTAGGTGACCCTGCTTGAGCAGGGGGGTTGGACTAGATGATCCAACCTCAACCATTCTGTGATTCTATGAGAGTTTCATGTTGGCTTTGATTTAGCTGATATACTAATATTTGGGTTTTACTGAAATTTATTATCTTGCTATTTGTGTTTTCCTTTAATGACAAAAATAACATATTCACCCTATTCATTAGGACAAGAAGTCGTACACATAGTACATTAGCTCCCTATTTTCAATTTCCAAGTTTTAGGTTGCTCCTGAAATCATCAAGCCAGATAATCAACTGGCATAAATAATCGTAGCTCCAGTAGCCTCATCGCTGGCTGTGGGTAATCTGTGCACTATCACTCCAAAAACGCTCCACTGGATTCCTAATGCATGCCTTGGCATGGCTTATTGTGATTAGAATATGGTTCATTAGTTTTGAATTTGAAACGTCCAAGCAGTCTTCCATGCTGGCCCTTAAGTCTCTCTTCTGTAGATTTGTCAGATTCCCTTACCTATTCTGTAGGGCTTTACTTTCTCTGCAGAAAGAGAAATACTAAAGAAATATATTAAATAGCTAAAATCCTCTAGGATTGTTAAATCCAAGTGGAGAAAAAGCACAGGTAGTTTTACCTCAGTGTAAGTCAATTAACTGTTCATTCAAGTGCTACGGAAACTGCATTCCCCTTCTTCACTGAGGTTTTATATCTGGACAGCCAATTTAACCTAGCTAATTCCTTGAAAACCACAGCTTTCAGTGGTAGAAGTGCATCCTTTGCCTCACAGCATAATGAGAATGTTCATTTCTGTTGCGATGCCTACGGTAAGTATGCCCAGCAATAAGAAGTCCAAGGCTTTGGAATTACACTCTATCCCATTGAAAAAAATAATTTTGTTAAAACAATCATATTAGTGTTGTATGTAGCCCTTTGCCATGTTTTTGTCTCTCTGTCCATGGATTTGCAGTTAACAGAGATGCTGATTCCTGTTTTGCAAACCTCAGTTAAAATAGCAGCGCCTATTTCAGATATAAGCCTGTGAAACAACTTAGGATCATAAGAAGTTAGATCATGCTTGTCAATAGCACCTCTCACTTGCACAAAAAGGTCACTAGTCAGCTAACAATTATTCCCAGCAATTATTTGAGAAACTCTTTCTTATTAAGGTATACTAGCAGTTCCTCAATTTGAGGAACTTAGAATGGATATTTTGAGTAAGATCATCTAGAAATACAAAGCAGATTGTCCACTGCAGAAGCTGAGGTGAATATAGTTTGTTTTATTCTAGTGATTTAAGTTTTAGAACCACAGACTCAGCATTTTTAAAACAGGGAATTTTGGCAGATTTTTCACCAAGGCCTAGAGTGTGACTTTCAGTTTTAAATAATCAAGAAATGCTGTGCTGTTAAACAGGATCTGGTGACAGATTCTGGTAACTCAGTTTTTTCTCTTGGACAAAATCTGTTCTACTTCCTGGAGCACAACCTTTACTTAATGGCCAGCTCTTTAGATTTCATCAGTATACGTGAATAACATATCACATTAAAGATATCATGACAAAACTATTAATTATCCGTCTGCTAATAGAAAACTTCAAATAGCAAAGTAGTATTATCTTTTTTGTAATTAAAAGTATTAATTAGTAATTGTTACTAGATATTAGTAGATGCAACTAAATGAAACATGAATATTAATTTCCAGTGGCAGCTGTCAGAATCCTAAGAAATTTTGGCATAGTTAGGAAGTTCCCGGTTTCTTTTTTCACTGTAATATTGTTTTAGGTATTTCAGGACTAACCAATGCTAAAAAATTGGTGGACTTTCAGAAACTGCATGCCATCCTCAACAGTAATCATATCTTCTTTAAACTGCATGCATACTTGGTCTACACAGTCATGTTCTGCTAGGAATCTGACCTCAATAATTGCTTGTATATGTCATCCTCAAACCTGGTATTTTAGGAGAAGAAAACATTGAAAAAGGTCTGAGCAATATATTCCTGTCTTACAATTCTGTGTCCTAGTGTTGACACTCATTGGTGGAAGTACTGTCCTTTATGTTTGTGGGATCATACCTCTGGTACAGAATGTTTGTATTTAAATTTGTGCTCACATTAATGCTGTTCCTTACATTATTTATCCACAGGACAGTGATATTGAGGCAATGGTTGAGTACTTGGAGAGCGTCCTGAATAATAGCTCCTTGGGTAAGACAGTATCTTTTCTCTAAATGTATAAGCAGCATTTATTAACAATCTTTATTCATCAACACTCCAGTTGTTTCCATTTTGCAACAGAACTCTAATGTCACTCAGAAAAGTGATCTTGGAAATTGCTTCCTTAATCTATTGCACAGAAGTGTAAATGTGTCAAAAGTGAATGTATGCACTGTTACATGCTTTGGGTGAAAACAATAGAGACATAAAACATGATTGTCAGGAATGTGGAATGTTATAATAAAAGCTTTCCAAAACTTCACTTCTTCCATTCTTTCTCCAGAGAAAAATATTTAAAGATGTCATATCTGAAAAAGCACATCACTTTCTCTGGAACTGAAACAAGGGTGACCATGGAGACCAGCCAGAACATGAAAGGTGCTAGCCATTAAAAAGTCAGGTTAAAATGGTTATGTATTATGCTAGAGTTTTCCTAGAATATAGAAAAGATACTATGCTTTGCAGATAAAACTTGGAAAACCTTGCTTTAAATCCTTTTTTTTTTTTTTTAGAAATTTTGAGTATTGAAACTTGTTAAGCTAATTAACAAATTGTCTTAGATGAGAAAGAAAAACTTTGTCATGTACTTAAGCTGGAAAATAATATAGAGATGCATTCTTGACTATTGAAAAGAACCAAGAAAAATAATATACTGACATTTTACAAGTCATTGTAGCAATGAGATTTATGATGTTACCTTTACTTTCCCCTTCCAGTTGACCTGTGTGGCTTGAGGAACAGAACATAGTTATAGGAACCTTGAGACATTGGTCCTTCTCTTCCTTCTGCTGTTGCCTTCACCTTTTTAAAGCCATTTAATAGTTGTCACTATCTGAATCTGTAAAATGGTGGCTAAATGGCTTGTGCTGTAAAATCGAGCCTGAAAAGTCTGAAACAACTCTTGATCTGATGCTACTAATGCTTTATAAAAATATATGGAATATCTCTGACTGGATATGAGAAAAAAATCAGACACAGAGAGTGGTAAGGAGTGGAACTGGTTGCTCGGGGAAGCTGTGTAATCTCCATCACTGGAGATGCCCAGATTTTGATGTGCGAAGGCTCTGAGCAAGGTAATCTAACTTTGAAGTGTGTCCTCCTTTAGGGAGGGGGTTGAACTAGATGTCCTCCCGATGTCCCTTCCAGCGTAAACTCTTCTGCAGCTCTATATAGCTAACAACAATGAACAAGAAGAGTTTAGCAATTTGATTTTATTATGCCTCACAGGCATGTTTTTTCTAGTTTTCCTTATTAGAATTCTCTAGATTTTTTAGTAGTTTCTAGCACAGGTAACAATGAAAGAAAATGAACTAAAAGAAGAAAAAATTTTACAATGATCCAGGTTTGGATAATAAAATATTTATTTTACCTTACAGTGTCTCTTTAGAGGCACAGAACAATCACTGAGAATATAGTTTTGTTGTTTAATCCTACAGTTTCCTTCAAATTCTCGTTATAAATTTAGAGTATGAAAGTCTCATTTCCCATGGTATACTTAAAAGCTGAAAAGAACACTTAGATGAAAGAAGGGTATTTACGGAGATCGGCTTGGTCATTAACCTTTCAGACCAGTGGGTCTGATTGTGTCAGCAGGAGTCTGTCTGAGGACTGCTTGAAAGCCCAGCTAAGTTATCAGAGGCTCCCACTGCAACAGCAGTTTTGTCTGGCAGCCTCATTTACACTCATTCAGTCATGTTCAGCCTGACTCAGTGTTATCTTAGGGCTCTGAAACAAGAATATAGGGGAGGCTTAGGAAATCCTCCGACTAGAGATTCCTCTGGTGCAGCACTATGTCTCACCCCTGTGTGTGGCTACAGACTGATTTGAAGTGAAAACTTAAGAAGGAGATGGATGAATGAAAAGGAGTAGTAGAAGTCAAGGCCATCACAGTCTTGTAGCCTCTGAATTGTATCTGGCCACCTTCTGGGTCCCCTTTCAGCAAGGGTCCAACTCAGGGAGGTCCTTAGGACCATCTGAACGCAGGCCCATGCACATGCTCTGTGTCTTCGCGCTAACGGGGTGTCTTCAAATTTTGCACTGATTGACGCTTTGGCAGCACCACTGCTGCAGTGGGTTTGGAAAAGTGAAAATAAGGACAAAATTTAGCCATATGCATCAGTGTTTTGTTATGTTAATGTAAGAGAGGAATTGCCTTGGGAGCTGCTGGGGAGAATCCAGAGGATTAGAACCCCTCTAAGTTTGTGGGGTTTATTTTTTTATTTTTTTATTTTTAACCTTAATTATTAAAGAGACTCTTGGCTTCTTCTTTTTATTTCAGTATTAAGAACAAGAAGATGCCTTTTAAAATTATAACATTACGGAATGAAATTGTGCTTTAATTATTAAAAAAGATCTGACTAGTCTGTGCTAAAAGTTAAAGCCTTTTCTCCAAACTATGTTAGTAATTAGGTTTGTATGATCAGTTCAAAAAATATATATGTGATGATTACGAGAGAAATCTGCTAGGGTCCCTTATATTTTTTTACGTTCAGCGTTACTGAGGAGCTGTAAGCATTTATTATTTTAAACTCCTGCAATATCAAGCTACAAAGCTGTAGAGAGTACAAACTAAGTTAAACTTACTGTTATTAGCATTTTATTAGTATATATCCTAATCAAAAGAGCCATATAAAAGGAGTCTTTTTCTTTAAGTCAGAATTTGAAAACTAGAAACATAATGTTTAGGAACCAAGAAGAAGAAGATTTCTATCATAAAGAAGAGAGGAGAACCTAATAACTACATCTTCATATAAAATTTTCCATTTAAGATTCAGAAAGAGATTTCTGTTGTATTGTTCCAGGGAACTCTTTAAAATGTAAATAAAAAAAGTTATTATGCTTTTTGTTCCTTGTGACACATCTTCTCTAATATAGATTTCTGTATTACAGATTTGTGTTGCATATTTGTGACACATAAGTGAACACTTCAGTGAAGTTAAAAGGGGGAAGTTCATTTAAAGTTTAACTTTCATGGACTAATTGCTACTCACAGTTGCAAAGAACATTTAAAAATGTACTGTAAAATTTCATGCTATTACACATATTTTCATCTTTCAGTCACCAAAAGTAAGTAACTGAATGTAAGGCTCAGTACTTACTCTCAGCCCTTTTTTCCATGATTTTTTTTTCTGAATTATTTGAAGATTCTGCAACATTCTGTTTGAAATTCATGAGGCTAGACGTCCTCTTGCCTTTAGCTTGTTATATTTTTCACATAACATTTATCATGAGTTTAGGGACATAATTATTCTCAAAATCTTATTACAGAGAGAAAGGAAACACACCATACATGTAAAAGCAAGGATTTTTATTAGTTTAATTCACATCTTAACAGCCTGATCAAGGAATTATTATTAATCGAGATACAATTGTTACAGAAAAAGAAACAGAGGTTGACTAAATGAATACTACTATATAGAAAAAGTCTCAATAATAATACAGTTAAAATTCTTATACACACACTTCCTATTAACTGTGCCTTTTCCTGGTTTTATACTTACCTTCACTCCCTTGCCAGAAGAAATATCAATATTGATGGCTGCTTCTTCTTCACTCAAGGATCCAGTTGCGGTCATTTTTCTGTATTTGCTAACATGCTTTTATACCTTTGCTTTTTTGTCATTGGCCTGCAAATTCATGTTGCATCCAGATTTTTCACATATGGTGCAATTTTTGTGTGTTAGATACTTGTTTTTTGTTCTCTTTATTACTCCTAAAGCCTATTTTGTGCAGTGCCGCGTCTGCTTTTCATTAGCAACCACTAGTGAGTTGTTTATATCTGTGGGATCCCCAGCACCAGCCTGTGGCCCATCTCTTGTCATCCCATGCCTGTAGTCCTCTACACCTCATCTACGTCCCCACTTCCCAAGGCCCCTGCTATCACACCAGGCCTGTATTTCTCTACATATCATTGTGTTTGTTAGTCATGAATATTGCTACCTGCTCAGAGTATTTACTTGTTACTACTATCTATATAAAAACTCTGGTTGTACCACACAAAGTTAAGCGAAAATAAGACAAAGTAGCCCTAACCACCTGGTCATTAGAAGAACTGCTAAATGAAAACAAAGCTCTAGGCAGGTCAAGAAAAGTCTGGACAAAGCAAGCCTGACAACCTCAGTCCTGAGGCCTTGCAAACTCAGTTCAACCTCAGTTGAGCCTGGTACTAGCAATGGCAACACTGTGTTACTGGGTTTCAGAGCTACAACCCTATGATGAGTTTTACTTCTGAAAAAATCATGAATTTTGTAAAAATAATAGAGGCAGATGCCAGGCCAGACTTTTGCATCTTGAAAACTTGAACTGAGTTAAGACTGCCTGTGGGACACAGTTTGCAAAATTAGGAAGACTGCTGGAAAAAACTGGGAAATGAAAAAGGTTTTGAAAAACTGGCTTTTCAATTTACTTAATTTGTCTAGCTTAAAGAGGGAGAAGGTTAGAGGCTATTTTGTCACTTTTTATGCATATAAACTCAGGAAAATATATCTGATTTTAAGGGACTTTTTAATCTTGTAAAAGGCGGCATGGAAGGATCTCATACGTACAAGTGAAAGCTGACAAAAAAAAGAAGTGGTCTATTACTCAGTGAAGATAACAGCTTCACAATAGGTAATAACTTACCAATAGACATAACAGATGACTGAAATGATGTCATAAACTGTTGGGCTCTTAGCAGAAATGTTGATAGGAAGTCCTTTGGGACATGATGTATAAGAAGCCTCATGAGCTAATCACAATCATCCTTTTTAAGTGTAAGCATCTGTGCAAATAAATACAAACCAGAGGATTTGGGTTTTTTACAGATCCTTTAATCTTTCTCCTCTTTGGCAAAATGTGAGGGATGCAATAATAGCCTCAAAATTAGTGTTTTGTGACTTGAGAGGGTAAGGACCCTGTGCCATTTTGCCTTCTCTTGATCTCCACTGTATTGGAGTAGACACTGGGAGAGTATTCATCTTTGAAATACACTTAGGAAATGACCAATATCGATTTTGAAAAGTCAGTGGTCTCATTATTTTATCTGATTTTGTTTAATGAATCAAAGATGATATATTGCAAAAAAATGCAAATAGCTATTTGGCTACTAAGTAGCGTAGTTACTTGTTCTGTGCTAGTGAATGGGTAGGTAAGCTGCGGATAAGTGTATTGTTAGTCAAGTGACTGCTTCTAAGAAACAATGCCTCTTCTAAGAAAGGTTAGAGATCACCTCAGTAAAAATCGTTTTATGCTTGTCATAGCAACGGTGCAAAAGACTTAGCAGTTTTCCATGATAACTGATTTTTAATGACTAGCATCCTTTGTAGCATCCTACAAGCTGTATTCCTTGCAGCTGCTTGATAGTACCCACAAGATCATATTTAATGGAGAGGAAGGTATTAGTCTGTGTTTAGAGAATAAGTTTTGCTTGGCCAGTTGCCAACGTGGAGAGAAGGCAAAGGAAGAAATATTTAGCCTGGAATCCCAGAAAAGCAAGAATGATGTTTTTAATAATGAAATGTCAGAGGAGGAGGAGATAAAATATTGTAGCAATAAATAGACAGAGCCCACTAAGCAGAAAGAATATGCTAAGCTCTTACCACATGATATATCCTATAATAATAGTAATACTAGAATTTACCTGAGGCTTGTGGTTAAATGTACTCTGTTTTAAAAGGATGTGAAGATTATGTTTTTCCTTAAACAACAAGTGGTCAGGGCACCATTTTTTATTGCCTTTGAAATCTGATAATGATATCAAAGCCTAAAGCTGCACATCTGGACACTAATTCTATGCCAATTCAAGGAGGACCTAATAAGTTATGACCATGGCTGTGCACAGCACTTGAAGTTTCCTCAGGGCTTCCTCCATGGATAGCTGACTATTCTAGCACCGTTAAAGTAATTGAATGTTTACAGAGTCCAAATTAAAATGTATGGATATACACGTGTAGTGTTAGAGTAAACGATCAGGCATTGTTTTCTTCATCAGTGGGTGAAAGTTATTGATTGCTGGTAAGAGCTGAGCTTGTCATTTTCCATCTTTTTAACTACATTTACTATACCTGGATTGTACGGTAAAATTTAGGCACCAAATGACTGTTAGCCATTAAGTATAAAGATAAGTTATGAAAATATTTTAAAAAACAAATGGTTTGTCTGTAGTCAGATAGCAGAGTTAGGAAACCGTTTCTTCTATGGGCTCTCTCCACATCTGCTTTCTACTTTCACTTGCAAAGCTCTCAATTGTGCAGGCACTTGCTGTGAGCTATTCATGACAGAAAGCTTTAGTGCCAATATTTCTTGCTTTACATGATCAGGATCTATATCTGTGTAAGATATGTGAGCTTGATTCCTGGGAAAGACATGATTTTGCATTCAAGGGAAGCATTGGGTACTCTCTGGCAGAGTCTGTACTTGCTCATGGCAGGAGGATAGGGGAGAGCTACCTTGGGCTGTATGTGATCGATGTTAATGCACTCCAAGCGAAAATCCAGCTTGCAGTCCAAGCTAAAAATGCCTGCTGGGAGATGGGAGGGTATTTGTTTGTCCTGGGAGTTGCACTAGCATGTTTGTGTGACTTTTAGTGTGTTCATAGCCTGTGCAGAGCCTTCTCGTGCCTGTTCAGAGCTTGGGGTCTGTGAGCGCCTGCCCACACGTTTACCCAAGGTGCAGTTCCACCATGGTGTCTATTCTCCTCATTTGGGAAGTGAACTCCTAATGCTGAATATTTTGCAAGGGGAAACTAAAATAGCGGCTTTATTTGGCTTAGCACAGTGAAAGCTGAGAGGATCTGTATTTCCAATTTTAAATAAATGAAGGGAGTATGCAACGGGGAAGGGACGAACTGAGTTACCCGAAGGACAGGTTTGGCACAAGAGAAAAATGAGCACAAACTGGGCAATGAGTAAAATTTGTCTGGAAATTAGGAGGACTTTCAGCCACCAGATCACAGTAAAGTTTTGGAATTATTTTTTCCAATAGGAACAGTAGCAGCAATAAATAAATAAATTGAACGTGAAGCTTGATCAGATTAAGAAAGGGCTTGTATGAGGTGGCTGCCATATAAAATAGCAGGATATCTGAGTTGCCAACCCTGCCAGTCCTTTATTATTCTGTAGTTCTGTGTTCCCATGGATGAATACCACAGCGCTCTGTGAGTATTAAGTTATTAAATATCTCGATACCCCATGATGTGTGTAAATAGAATGTGTGTGTGTGTGTGTCTGTGCCTGTGTGTATCTATGCGCCGGTATATTTTTTATATCTTTTATTTACATATCTGTATAAGGAATCCCTTCATCTGAAAGGGAAATTTATGCTTTTTGTAAAATACTGACAATTTATAGTATGATCAAGCCAAGGAAGAGGCTTGCCTGTTAGAAAGAAGGCTCTTGCTCTTATAAATAACTGCAAGAACAACAGAGGAAAATAAATATTGTCTAAGAAAATTTCCTTTTGTTTCGTATTTATGTGTCCCAGCGCTTTCTCATATGGATTCTTTCTGTTATAGTATAATTCCCTGTATAAGATATGGAAGGAAAATTGTCACAATTGTGGTGCCTTTAAGCTATAAATCTACTTGTCACTCAGAAAGGAGTTGCCTTTAATTTGGATTTAATAATCTAATTCATCTTTAATTAATGTGGCATTAGCTTGTGAGAAAACGGAATAGTCCTCCTCCTCCGGACTGCCCTTGGCTCTGCAATAGTGCTCAGGAGATGAAAGTGAATAAGGTTATGTGTCTGTGCATTGATTTGTAGGCTCTGGGACCATCAACAGAGTGGCTCCTGAAGTGCCCCAGGGATTCAGAACTCTCAACAGCACTATGGCTGGGACCAAGCTGAAACGCATGAGGGAGTAAGTGGTATATTTACGTGTTACTAGTATCAAGACAAAGAGGATGGTTTTGAATAACAGCAGAACACAGCAAAACAAACCGTGTTGTCTCCGCACCCCAAAAAAATCCCCCAGGCAAAAACAAGTGGATGCTAAGGTATTCATTACAAACTGCATGCCTACTTACCCCAACGAAGGGCTAAGGTTAGCTGTCACTTCTGAATCTTTTCTTGCAATCTGCACAATCACTGTCATCCTTCCCAGGGTCCAGTTTGTGTTCATTGCTGTCTGGGTCATTTCTCTTTATTTGTAAGCTCAACAACACATACCCTTAAATCAACTGCATATATGTTGATGTTCCCATGATGTTTGCTCCCTTACCCACACTTGGCTGGCACAAAAGGCTAGAGGATTTGTTTCCCATGATGATATGCTGACTAAACACAAACGTTATCACTGTTGGCTGGGTTTTTTAAATAAGACAAAGGAAGTTACATGTGCAGTTCCCTTTGAAACTCAGTGTCTAATTGCTTTCAGCATCACTGAAATCTCAAGCTTTATTAATAAAGATTTCTCTATCTTAGTACAGCAAAGACTTGTACTTCCTTTGTAGCATGTATACTGGTTAAGATATTTTGAGCCTCTTCTAGTAAATTGTAAATATATTCTTGCCTTCAGAGATTTATTGTACACTTATTAAGGTAGTGATCTGGTACTTCTGATGCTGTGTATTATCTCTGAACTCAGATCTTCTTTATAGTGTTGCACCGTTTCAGCTGATCTTAGATTGTAAGCACCTTTAGAAAAGGTCAGTTTTGTCTTGTGTAAGTGAACAGGGCCAAAGATATGGCAGGTATTATTGGAATACAAATCGTAAATACAAACGGTTAGTGCTATTAGTTATTTAAGTAAATTCCCTACAGAAAATGAACCCAGCCACAACAGCATTGACACTGATCATTTTTAAAAGCACTCTGGAATACAAAATGGACTGTTTATTCAAGAGAAATTCCAGTCAGATTTACTTCAGATGGAAGCTATTCAGTTTTATGATGTGTCCTGATGCAGCAGCTCCTAGGATTTCACTTCATGACTTGGCGCAGTCAGCAGCAGGTCTCTAGCCTGCCAGTCTGGTTCCTTTCCATTCCATTGTCCTGCAAAGCCCTTTTCAAAATCTAAAAATGCATCATGGTGTGCCAACTGGTTGCAAGGTGAGGTTGTTTAGAGAAAATGCCTACTGATCTTACAGCCTTCAGTTTGCATTCTTGTAGTAGTAGGATAAATCTGCATTATCTGAAAACTGTCACACCTTTAAAAACAGAGTTGTTCCAAGTTACAGTATATATAGGAGGCTTGGAAAGAAAATACTAACTTTTGATTCCTTGAGTTCTTTATTCTTGTTCCTGAAGATGTTACTGTGTCTGAGCCTTTTAAACTTCATGGTCATCACCTGTAGGACTGAGGTATTATTAAACCACTTGCTTCTTTCAGACTCTCATCTTTCAGTGCTGTTTGTCAGTTTGCACGGTTTAGTGGCTTTGATCAGCTCAGAAACCTTTGAGCTTTGTAGGATAGGCTCCTAATGGCACGTAAAAGCTGAAAAAGTTGAAATGTCATATGATCCTCTGGAAATGACACATTGCAGAATAGTTTATAAAACAGACATATGTTAATGAGCAGCCTGATTACCTGGAAGAGTTTGCATGTAATGCATTAGACCTCACAATTTTGAAACACCTTCCTGGTTATTTAACTCCTGAAAGAGAACCAACCACATCTGTAGGCCGAAAGTCCCACCCAACTACCGTCTTGAGAACATCCACCAGGCCATGCCCATGAACCATTTTAACATTATATTCATTAAGAGTAAAATAATGAGGTTTGGAGGGGGAGGGTTGGTTGGTTTTGGCTGTTTTTTTTTTTTTGTAATTAAGTGTACAGATCTATTCTTGTGACTTACAATAACTAGTTAAAGATGTATATCTAAATGTCTACTCAGTTTATAGCCCTTTCTCCTGAATATACTATGGCCTTGCCATTTTCTGAATATGTCAAGATGAGAGAGTGTATTAATTTCTTAGAAATGACGGTGTTAAGAAACAAGTGAGCGAGCATGGTACACAACCGCATATACACAGAGATCCCTGCAAATTTGTATACATGCAAAATGTATGCTTAGAGCATGGTGGGGGAGTTGTAAGGGGGAGAAGGGAGTACATCTAACTGCAAAATGGATGCATGAAGCATCGGTTGTTCTGGTCATCCCTCAACAAACTTCACATAATGCATCATTCCTCATCTGCACAGCAGTGCTGCTTGGGCAAGATTAATATAATTTAGACGTGTGCTATTCAGTTTTACTTGGGAAGTCACAGACTTATGATGGGATCTTGCAGCTGACAGCTTCTAATTAAAGAGAGGATGTGTTTTCTTTTGCCTTATAGAAAATGTAGCTGGTGTTCTTGCAGGGAAACAGAAAAGAAGAGCAGTGGGGACAATATGAAAGTGCAGTGGAATCTATCTAGCTGGCACATCACTATGGAAACAGAAGTGTGAAATGTTGTGATTAGTGCCATTATCAGATATATTAACAGGAATAATTGTGGTGAGGGAGACTCAAAAATTGCTCAGAAAGTAAGCATTGTGCCTACATGTTGCAAATAACATTAATGAAGGAAACTCTCTCATTAGCTCTGATAAAATGGTAGATCTATGTCAAGTGAGCAGAGGGTCTAACAGCAGAGAAGGTCTTTTAAAGGTCATTCTTAATTGACACATGTAAATGATGCACGCTTGCAAATAACAAAGTAGCAGGACGTTCAGTTGACAAGATGTCACGTGCTCATTGCTTGGAGTCATTGCAGTGTGTTGTCCTGAGTGCTTTCTTTGACAGTGGCTAGACTTGCTGTTTATCAGAGTGCCAGTTTAAGTGGCTTCTGCTGCCTTCCTGTGCACGGCTTGATACATACATTCATATGAGACGGTGTCAGGAAGCTGTGGTAAAAGTCTTTACAGGGATGAAGGAGGAAGCCGTTGATGTTCTCAAATAGGGTAGGTAGGAATTCTTTGTTTCCATCTATTTTAAATTAAAATTGCTCAGGACTTAACCCATTGACAGCCTGACAGTGTTTATGATTCAGTCCCAAGCTTCCTTCAGTACAGTCCCAGAATATTTTCACAAACATCCGCTTCATCTGCTTTCCAATCCCCCTTGCATTCTCTGTTCCAGTATTTTGAATCCCTGTCCTCTTTCAGTAATAGTCATGATAAAATCACTTACTCCAGTGACAACAATTTCTAGTTTGTTATACTTGGTATCAGTATTCATTATGAAGTTTGTAGTAGCAGGGATTTAACTTTATCATTCAAGTGGAGTTCATCCTCTCAGCAAAAATTTCTACTTCAGTGCTAACAGTTTCAATACTGGGATCTTGCAGTATTGATAAAAAATCTCGATTTCTTGAACTAGTGCCTGCAAAGATTATCTGAGCTTTTTTTATTATTCTCCCTCCCAGCCTTACATATTGTGGTGGGAAGTCATCCAATTATATATCACAGTTCTGTGATTCATATTCCTCATATCGGGTTTTTAGGCTGAGGAATCATGTTAGATGCAGGAAACAGAAGGACTCACATCTTGGTGTTTCTTGTCCTGGCCACTTTCTAATTCTCCTGACTGTTCCCGTTCCTGACTGTACGGGATAACTTGGTGCGTGCCACATTCTAAGCAATAAAAGGTGTCAGAATCTACAATAAAAGAGATAGAACCAAAATTTTTAGACCTCTAGCTGAAAAAGTTATTCTACTTCTTTTCAGATTACTATATCTGATTATGTGTCCTTCTTTTCAAATGTAAGACCACCTCAGTTGGCACCTCACAATGCAGTGCCGTGCAGAAACACACAAGTACCGGGAGCCTATGGAAAAGTCTTATGATGCGTGCTTGACATCTCAAGTCAGTACAGGAATTCATATTCTAATATGGAAAAGAGAAAGGTGAAAAGTAAGACACCAGTGTGCAGAAATGTGTAGAAAACTGTGCCTTATTTGGGATTTTGGTGCAAATGGCTATATTCACTATTACGTCTCTTTGGCTGGTGTAGTATTTGTGTTCCAGGTGTTCCAGTGAGCGAAGGTGCTATTCCCCTTGAAGCTTCCTCAGAATTGTTGTCAAAATTCTTTTTTGGGGGGTTTGCTTGTAAAATCAAGATTTGTGTTTTACAGAGTAAGGCTGATTTTAGAATAATCGAGTATCTGTGGAGCAGAATTTTTATCTTGCTCTTTCTGTGCTAAAAATATCCAAATAATAAAGAACATTTGAAAGAAGGAAAAAACTGCTAGTATAGAGTGTTTGTGCTCCTTTCACATCCTGGGGGTATCCATCAATACATACAATGAGTCTATTTAATAGTAGTGAACTTTAATATGCACTTTAGAATTCAATAAAATGTATATCAGTAAAAGGAAAAGACTTTTGTGCCCCAAGTTTTAGGTAAATTAAAATCCTTCAGCGCAGCAGTAAGTACCTCTTAGTCAGTCCCTGAAGTCTTACACACAGCAGCATACCATGATTAGGCAAAAGACTTCATCATCACCTGCTGAGTGTCGGTAAAATCGTCTTTCAGAAGTCATGGAGAAAAGGCATTTGGTGGTATTTTTATTCTGTTCCTGTGAGTGGTCATAGCGCTATTGGTTTAGATTCGTGAGCAGTATGCATATATGCTTCTTGTGTTTGTGACATTCGCATCAAATGTATCATTTATCTTAAAAATTCAGAAAGAAAGGTCAAACTGAAGTGACTGAATGAGCACCGGATATTCTTAAGTTAAGTATTCTTGAAATGCCTAAAGCAGAGAAGAGTTTCTGTACATTTATTTCTGCACATCTTTGAAGTACTGCAGTGAAGAAACTGGTTATTTGATTTAGTGCTTTGAATAGATGTTGGATGGACTTTCCTAAGGGCCAACTCTGCTCTTACTGAAACTGGTTTTCTTACTGACATCACTGAGGGCAGCTTTAGA